CCAGTTCAACTACATTTCTGCCTTTTTTTTTTTCCTCTTTCCCTTTTTTCTTTCTTTTTTTTGTTTTTTTTTTTTTTTTTCTCTCTCTCTTCCCTGAGAAATATCCTCACTAAGAAAACTTTTCTTGGAATAAATAACGGGAGACACGAAGTGTGCAGAATCCAAACACAGGCATTCCGCACGCTGTGTGACGGCAACAACCGATTACATCCACCCCGAAACATTCGCAGACAGTCATGTTTGTTTTCATTGCATTCCAGATATCAGTTGCAATCAGTCTATATATATATTTCTTTCTCTCCCGTGTGTGTGTGTTCCCTTTATATACAGAACCAAAGGAACGTTTTGCTAAATCAAGCAAAATCTTCAAAAGCCTTCAAAACCTGCGTTCTGAGCTTGTAAAAAACGCAAGGAGAAAAAAAGAGGGATTTTAAAATGGAGCTAAATGACTCAGAGTCCAGTTGGAGCCATAATGTGAATTTATCCTCAGATGAATAATTTGCCTTGGTATTCCTAATTTGGCAAGTAAAGAGTGCAGCGCTGCTTCACAGCCATAGTACCTTTGTGCTCTTAATCCACCAGGGGCTACCTATACTTGTCTGTCTGTACATTGGATCACTGCTAGTGGAGGTCTGAAAAGCATCTCCAGCAATCTTTAATTCATGTGATTAAAAATTCAAAAGAAGCCCTTGTACCAGCTGTTAAACTATGTTAGTAAGCTGTAATTCAGAGTTCAAATCCCAGCAAATTGAAGGTTAGGTTAACAGGATCATTCAGTGGAACTGCATTATGTCGTAGCGACTAGAACAGTAGGTGGACTGTTTTATACAGGCTCATTTGCAGAAGATAAACTAAGGATGAGCAAACTCATAGCACTGCAAACCTTGCCCTGGATTTATTTCCCCCCCCTTCTTTTTCCGTGGCATGATTTTTGCTTAAAGTCTGGCAGATGAAACCAACTGTGGGTTTTGTTTAATCTTTGCACAGATAGAGGCAGAATAAAATCAGCATGAAGTGTTTTGTTTAAGATTATCTGGAATCTGAGAAATGTGTTTTTCATCTCTGAGACTAATTAGTTTAAGTATAACAAAGGTGAAATGAGTCTGATGGTCTGAAGACTACTGTTCATTCTCCCTTAGTAAACAGTGAGAAAGTATAAGAGAAAAGAAATCTGCCTTATTTAGAAGAGTTTGGTGTAATTTATTCTTTGCTCAGTCTCTCCCCAGCAAACTTACAGGAAGTCTGGAAGAATCAACCTTAAGTGCATGTGAGGCCAAAAGTATTATTCACAATTATTACTTATTACTAGCATTACAATAGTCATTAGTTTTCAGCTGCAAGTGAAAAGCTATTGTGGAAAGTGCTGTGTATAAAATGACAGTATTTGCTCTCCAGTGCTTACAGCCTTCCCAGCTTTGTAGAGCTTGCAGGGAGAAGGTGAGAAACAGGATGTAATATCATCTTTAGTTTGCAGATGGGGAATTATGGCACAAAGTGTCTTTCCCAAAACCACACAGGAAGCATGCAAAACTAGAAGCTGAATCCTGATCCCTTGAAGGCTTTAACCAAAATACCATCCTTCCTGTCTATTGAAAGATTCCTACTTACTATATAGTGAGCTGTAAGGCAGACCTTTAATGAGCCCACACCCAGAAAGTAGATGTGATCCCATGCCCATAATACACATGAAAAATTGAAGCCCTTATAAAATGCACTGATAATGTCGTTACACTTGTGGTTCTGGTGACTTTGATAAGGTAGGTTTTGTGCAGTAGAGAGCAATTCTGAAAAGGGAAGTCAATGGGAAAGGCTAGGAAGGTCTGATGGATTGCTCAAAGTGGCTCCAAAGGCAAAAGGAAAAATGGCCTGTTGGGGTTGTTGCTAGGATAATATCAGAGGATAATAAAATATTTAGGAAAACTGTGTCTTTCACATTTGGAAAAAAGAAGCCAAATGAAAAACAGTGCTGAGTATGAGTGCATCTAGATGCTGGAAGAAGAAACCTTGAGCTCAAGAAACAGGTGAAGAGAAGCTTACAGAAGAATGGAGAATTTTAGTAAGAAAGCACAGGAGTTTGCACAGGTATCAAAGGAATACAAATCTGTAGCTAGGAATTTCACCTCCTTATTGCTGGTAAGAGACCCACTAGTGAAAGCTTTAACATATTTTGCATGCAGTCCTTCCAGTGATCTACTCACAGGTCTGAAGGGAGAAGTCATGCATCTTTTGGCCATGACACCTACAAACACGACGTTCATTCTCATTTCCTACTTAAGAGAATACTTGTTCTGAAATTACTAAAATTCCTAACTATTTAAAGAAAATAAATACACATTTTAAGTGATTAACATGCGTTTGCCTGTATGTGATCAACCTGTGACTCGATTTCTTCTCTTTAAATCCTACATTAACAAATCATTCCCGCTGTGGGTCAGATGTCATGACTAAATACATGGCACTCCCCAAACCCTTTAAATGTTTCAAGAAATAATGTTTAAAAATAACATTGTCTGACCAAGGACTGCATAAAAGTTGTGAAGGACTTGGCCTCGTAATTTAGAGTCATCATCATCAACAGGCTTTCACTTGGATAGCACCTTTCATTCAAAGATCTCAGAACACTTAATTTAATTAAGCCTTTCAACAATGCCATAATGCAGCCAAATGTTATAATAACTGCTTGTAGAGGTTTGAATCTGAGACAAAGAGAGGTTAAATGAGTCTCCCAAGGTCCCAGAACAAATTAATAACATCGCCAAGAGGAGGCTGCAAAGCCAGACCCGCAGCCCTCTCCTTCACCATCAGCTCCTTTCTTCCTCTTTCACCCCAACACACGAACATGAACACTGGGGATTTCTGAGGACTGTGGTCCTCATCTTCCTAGGAAGCAGTGTGTGACACCAAGCAGTGTTTCAGACTCATGATGAGGACCGCATCCCTTATTTAGGCTGTTTAGAGCCCTGCTTTCACTCCCCAGACAGCGATCCAGGTTTCTGGGCAGGGTTAGCTGCACCATATAATGGGTGGTAGTAATGGGAATATTTCCCCCAAAAACAAGATTAGGATGAGTATGTCACTGCTCTTCTCCACACCAGCACTTCCTCTGGGCTACCTGAGGAAGTGGGATTGTTTGCAGCTTTCCCATGGCTACAATCTGCACTATATTCACGGTGCACTGAGCGGTCAATTTTGCAGCCTGTGAAGACCAAAGCTGGGTGAGCTCCCAGGCACCTTATCTGCACTGAAGGACAGGGCTCAGCAGGAGGAACACCTCATCCTCACCACCGCACAGCGTGCTCTGATGTTTTCTAGGAGGTCCCTTGCACAGGCTGCCTCATCCTGATTCCCTGAGCCTGGGAGATCTGAAGCACATACAGGCTGCAGTGGTATGGCTCCAGGCCATACAGCACGCACTAAGCACTACCATATGTCACAGAGGCAGCTAGACAAAATCTTCCCTGAAATGTGAAGAGGAGTGCTGGATACACGCGAAGCTTCACTAGTTTCAAACCAAACAGCAAAGGTTTTGTAAAACAAAACTGGTTTACTGCTGAGCTTCAGCAGCTGCTTTCAAATTTACAAATACGTTTACATTCTGCAGAACGTAAATGAGAAGTGATGGCTTTCTGAGCTGGCTGTCAGGACCCCGAGGTGGGGATTTGCCTTTTCCCAGGTGCTGCTGCAGAGTTCGATGCCCTACAACGTGCAGGTGGAGTGGCATGGGACATCCGCTCAGCCCACGAAGAAGGCCTGGAGCTCCTTGACATGAATGGCCACAGACTTTACAGGAAGGATTTGGTCATTATTACATTCAGTATTTCCCCATCATGGAGGGGCTCCAGAATTAAATATTTGACCCTCCAGTTTTGGGAACTGTCGGCAAGAGATGGACCAGGCCCACACACGCGTGCAGGATGCGTGGGGTCCCGTCAGAAAGGCCCCATCATGCATTCCTCCAACTCTATAATCTCATGAACACAAATATTTAGTGTCCATCCCAGCCCCAGATTTATAAAAGGCCATCTGTTAACTGCTTTCACTGGTTCCCAATTAAGCTATCTCCATAGCGGGATTGATGCCACTCACGGCTGACACGATACCTTCAGTTTGAGGATAAGATAGTTATTTGGACTAATTTCCTTATGGAAAGGCCTTGTATAATTGAACAGTGGTGAAAACAAGCAGGGTTGGGCAGAATTACAAGCAGGGCCTGTGCTGCAGACAGTACCCATTACACCAGTAACATCTAACTAAAGCACAACACCAAGAGTCATATGATGCCTAAGAACATGGACTTTTGCTTTCTAAAACCATCCCCTTGTCTTTATTATTGAGAAGTTTAAAATGTGAGGTTGAAGGCTGAAAAATAAAAAGACAGAAAACACCCCAATTGTTGTTTTTTTTTAAATCTAATTATTTTAAGCATGATTTCAGAACACTGGGAGCTGGATGGAGCATGGTAAATTATACAAATTCCTACAAAATTATGTGAGTTTAAAGTACCTTGGAATAGTTTAAGCTTATCTATGTTAATTAAATGAATTACAAATTTGTGATTTAATACATTAAAAAATTTGAAATATATGATATAAAAAATATAAAAAATACATAACCTTTTGTCTCAAAGGTTAAATGGGCTCTGCATGTGCAAATGAGTGCCATTCTGTTGATTTCATCACCATAATTTTGCTCACCTACATTTCATGGAATTGAACAGATGGATACTTCTAGGGTGCAAGCTTACCTTTAAATTCTTTCTCCATGAAAGACAGAAATCATAGAATCATAGAATCATAAAATGGCCTGGGTTGAAAAGGCCCACAATGCTCATTTAGTTCCAATCCCCTGCTATGTGCAGGCTGCCCAGAGCCACATCCAGCCCACTGAATGTCTCCAGGGATGGAGCATCCACAACCTCCTTGGGCAACCTGTTCCAGTGCCTCACCACCCTCTGAGTGAAAATAATTTGGTGGGAACATTCTGCTGGTGGGAGAGCTCACCTTGGCATTACTCCATCATCCATCCTTAATAATGGCACATGGACGTGACCTCTCAAGTAGAGCAGAGCACACAGATGGGAAGCTGGCTTGGCTCACAGCTTTGATGGAAAGCTCCAGTGTTTTCCTCCTTGTTCAAAGCGTCATGAAGCTCACCTTTGAAATTTCTTCTTATGAACTGAAGTTTGCTGCCCTAATTGGTACACACATAACAGTCATGAGATAAACAATTTACTACAGCATCAAGAAAACACTGGGCTGAAACTTTATTAGCTATGTATGATAAACCCATTCCTCTGCTTGTTTCAATGGTAAAATAAACTCCCAGCATGGACGGTGGAGATGGAGCACAGCAATTTGTTTCAGCTCAGGCCCCGTGTCCTGCTCCCACCCGCACCACTTGGCGAAAGCATGGCCTGCGCTCCTACAGGTGTTACATTTTTTACTCCCCCAGTGACCAGTAACAGTGCTATTGGATGAGCATAATATATCTCAAAACAATGTGCTGGCATCGCTGAGAACGTACATATAAGGCCACTGAGGTCCACACAGCAAGGATTGCACAATAACCCATTAAAATAAACATTTGCAACCACAGATAGCTGGCCTGAAATCCCTGCTCTGATACAAATAACATCTGGACAACTTTTGTATGCATCTTCCAGCATAAAACACCCTTGAGAAAAAATAGAAGGCAAGCTGAAAGACAAAGGACCACTAAAGATTTTATTATGCTATGGGTGTGGTGCCATAAATTTTAGGAGATTCAGGCAAGAGTTGCCAAGCCTGAATTTAAACAGCATGTTGTTTTTAAAAGTTGTAACATTAGTGACGAACAAGTCAGTATTCTTACATAATTAATCCAGTGTGAAATAGACTGACTGGAAGACATCCAGTGGTTTAAAAATAACTCAATCATTTATAAGATCCACAGCACTATAGGATTTAACATTAAGGCGCAGGAAGTGAAGGCATCTTGGTACAGAGCATGTTGTTTTAATTCCACAAAAGCTTTGTGAATTCTGCTTAACGGAGCTCACTGTACAACAGCTCTGTGCCGCGCAGAAGCGAGGGAGGTTCCTCTCAAGTGATCACAGGTTTAACGTCTGGGTTTTTGTCAGCAGGATTTGATTTCATTTTTCCTCTCTCCACCATTTGAACATGTCTTTGGCTGGAGATACCATAAAATAGATGAAAATGGATTTTTTTTTTTAATTATTTTTTTTTTTTTAGTGGTTACGCTTAACTAGAAAGACTGGGAGGAAGACAAAGCTACACAGGGAGCTAAGGAATGTCTTCAGATGGCAATCATAGTACGAATTTGAATGGACTACAGCCTTCAGTGTCATTTGTGAGTGATGTTTTCAACTGGCAAGCTGCACTAATAGATGCATATGGGAGACACAGCATGAAAAGGGCTGCATGTAAAGATACAGACATACCGCCAGGTGAAATCCTCAGTCGTTGCTGACCCGAAGTCATCACTTATGTTTGCAAACTAAGGACTCAGTTCTGCAGGTCATTCCGACACAAATCCTCAACCAGCAAAACCACCTGCAAGAGTCAGACATGGTTACAATCAGTGTTTCTGCAAGCTGGAAGAAAGCATCATGGCTAGTTGTATTGGAGCCCGCCCCTTACATGTTCAGAACTGGAGGTGAACGGTCCACACAGAGCTGCTTCTGGTTTTGCTATTTTCCAAAATTTCCAAGTAAAAATTTCCAAAGTAAAATGGTGGCAGTGCCATGTGGCCCCTCAGTCCACCATTAGGGTGCCAGGTCAGCGGCATCTCATCACTCACTGCTTTGTTCTGCTCTGTGAAAGCCCTCACAATGACACAATTTGTCCCAAAGAACATTAAGATTCCTAATAAAGGAAAGTAAAGAATAAAGCAAGTGGATATAAGGTGCCTCTTCCTTGGCAGCGCATTTCCCCTTTGCCTGGTTTGACATAGAGGATGAGAGCAGATACATCAAAATTGTAATCTCGAATGATCAAAATAAATCGCATACAATTGATTTTGACTAATGTAAAACTAACTGAATACATTTCTGGAAACAGTACTTATGAATTAATAATAGTGATTAAGATGAATTAAACACACAGACTAAATTCTGCTCTACAACATGCTGACTTCCATGGAAACTGTGCATGCAGATAGGGTCTGAGTACAGCAAGTTAATTCAGAATTATTTTTATCTGTTGAATCAAAGTAGTATGTTAAAAAGAATTTATGTGACTAAATAACATGCTAAACTTACCAATGTTTATTAAGCTTTGAATATTATATTCTCAAATTATCAGTATATCTGCCTAAAAATGCAAAAAGTGGCTTTTTGAAATCCACCACTGCCAGACTGCAGAGTCTTAAGGTACAAGAAATGTGACCCAAAACAGTATTATCATTTCATTGGGTAAGGATAGATTTAAAGAATCATTAATCTCATGCCCCATTCAGTTCTTGGACCCATTCACCATTTGCAAGAATGAAATCTGATACACAAATGCCACCTCTGCTCATGGCACCTGTCTCAAGATGGACCCAGCAACTGCAATACAGTTTTTCTCTTGAAATACAGCTATGTAGTTATTACATATTTTTTTCTATAAGCCTGTCTTTGTCATAAAAGCATATTAGCTATATTTCACATACGTACACATATTTTTATGAGTGCACATTTTACACATTTATTTTCTATGCTTATATACATATCTGTTTTTCCTATGATTTTGTCCATTTGCTTCTGTAACCATTTTGTAAGTTCTTTATGGAAAACTTGTTCTTGGTCAGAAATTCTGTGAAACTTACACTAAGGGAAATGTACTCCACTGAAATGCACCATGTGGCATCACCTATGAGGATTTACAGATGTACACTTAGGAAAGATTGATTCAGGCAAGTTCAAATCTGTTAGGTGCTTAAGATTGTGAGTAAGAACTGCAGAGAATATGGATGACTGAAAGGTAGCGTGTGTCAGGTTAAACTCTTGTTGCCTGGTATCAGTTCAGATTAATTCTGATGAGAACATGAGTAAAGAACATATAGGTGATCAGAGGAGAGCCTGTACTGCTGGAGAAGATTAAAGTAGCGAGGTACACTAAGATCAATTAAATGAAGGCTGAGATGCAACTTCTGTCTATGAATAAGCCGGGGGGGGGTTAAAAGAAGCTGCGAGATTTGCTGTTTAATACAAATATGAATGGATATCATCTGGTTGTTAATGAGCTTCAGGAGAAGCTTGACAAAGGGATGTGACCATGAGAACTCTCCAGCAGCCATCCCACAAGAGCATGGGGACAGGGGAAGTAAGAAAACAACCTCAGAAGGTGGTTAATATGGAGCTTGCTCAATTCTCAAGTGGGATTTGGGCAAGAAATTCAGTACTCAGAGGGTCCCTGCTAGTGCTGTGCTGTGAAAATGAAAGGAAAGGGAAAAGGAAAAAGGGAAAAGGAAAAAAGGAAAAAGGAAATAATCTCTGAATGTTTAATATTCAGAAGAAAAAAAATAGGAAGAGTTACTAAAAGTGATGATTTTAAACAATTCCCATCAAAATACTCCCCCCAAATATTTTGATCACGATTAAATGGTTTTGCAGTAGAAAACTCGCACTGTTTTTCTAATGGCTCAAGGCAGAAGCAGTTAGGACATTTGGAAAGGACTTGAATATTTATGCCTCGCTGCCGCTGCTTGACCTCCTCCAGAGAAGGGAGGGCATGCTTGGATTAGTCTTCATGTTTGTGGTGATTAAACAGCTCCTGGTCTCACCTCTTGCTGAATCCTAATGAAATCTGATATGTTGTCTGTTAGATATTAACAGGAAAATATTCTGTTTTCCCATCCACAGATGTTTGCCAAAAGGGAGATCACAGTTCTCCTTTCTAATGCAGACCTTGCAAGGTCTAGCACTAGGCAAGGACACTTGGGCACTGAAATCGTTTCTTGGAGCCTCTGATGGTTCTTCTGTATACGATAAGTTTAAGTAAATATCTGCTGCCAGGTTTCTTACCTTAGACCAGCTGCATACACCAGATGCTCTAGTTAGTTGACCGTATCAGAATCTTTCTGTAAAAATTTCTTTTGTAGAAGAAAATCTCCTTTCCAGGAAAAGGCTGTTGGGAAAGCCATAGTTGATTTGAAGTGTCTTCTCCCTGTGTTGTTAAAATACAGTGTTAGCTAAAAAAGTTTTAATCAATTTCATTTTTATCAGCAATCTGAAAAATCATTGTGATTTACTAAAAATATGGTATTTTTGGAAATCCTTTTGTATGAAGAATGTTGTGGTTTTGAATTTTCATCCAAGAGCTGGATTAATTTCTTTTCTGAAAACATAAAATATGTGATGGGAAGGGACTTCCATTTTCTACCCAGCCATGACATTTAGTGGTATTATTAAAATTAGTTATTTTCATTCCTTTTATGTAGAACCATTCATAAATATTGTACGTTGTAGCAAGTTGAGTTTGGGCCTACACACAAGCTAGTTTATACAGAGTAAGGCAGTCAAAACCAGAATCTGACTTTTGCAAAGTATGTATGTGTGTGTATATATGTATACATATATATATATATATATATATATATATATATGCATGTATATACACATACAATGAATTTGTATGAAAATATAATTACAGGACAGGTCAGAATATGTTAAAAATCAATTTTTAATGATCAAAGACCCAAACTAAAATAATTCAATGCATATAAATATTCCAGTTTTCAGAATTGCTACCAAGTAACGTAAAGCAAATCATACAATCAAAACTTGGCCCTCGCTCTTCAAGATGCTAAAGGCCAACGGCCCAGTCATTAGGTAGATATAAGCTATGTATAACATGGGAGTTTGCTGCTAATTGGTAGAAGTCAATTACAAATTAATCCAGCATCCTGATAAAATAATCTTCAATTTTCAAGACTCTGATTTTTTATTACTCCTTCAACATGTGAAAGGAAAAAAGAAATTTCCACTGCATTGACCTGGACCTTGTAAATAAATAGCACAAAGGAATGGCTTGGAAATGAAATTCTTAACATTGTCAATATGACCTAGAGAAGGGACACTGGTGTTGGTACAGGTTTTGGTGTTTATATCATTCACTGGACCTACTATAGATCAGGAGCTGGTGCTACCAAGCTTGGTGCCCAGCAAAGAAGAAGTTGAGAAAACTGCTGAAGATCAATCAGCTTTAGATGGCCAACCAACTTTCTGGAGTTGTGAGCAGTGCAGAAAAGCCATTTGTTCATAGGGAAGGTGTAAATCTGACAGCAGTTCTTCAGGTAACAATGCCAGTAGTTCCCAGAATATAGAGAAAATATTTTTGTCAGACACTATAATGCCCCTTACATTTGCGAAAGGAAGATACATCAAACGATTTCAGCTGTAGCATCCCTGATTCGTAGAATCATAGAATGGCCTGGGTTTAAAAGGCCCACAATGCTCATCTAGTTCCAACCCCCCCTGCTATGTGTAGGGTCACCAACCAGCAGACCAGGCTGCCCAGAGCCACATCCAGCCTGGCCTTGAATGCCTCCAGGGATGGGGCATCCACAGCCTCCTTGGGTAAACTGTTCCAGTGCGTCACCACCCTCTGGGTGAAAAACTTCCTCCTAATACTTAAAGAACTTCCTCCTAATATCTAAATTCAGATTCAAAAAAATCAGTCCCATCACTTACAAATCACGAATTAGAAAAGTGATTATTTTCCTTTAGAGAAGATACCTACTGAAAAATGGTGACATTATGCTCTTTTCAAATGGATGCCGTGGCTTTTATAGATGCTCTTGGTACAATCCATTTCTGTGAACTGCATGTTAGAAGGCTTTACCACTCCATTATAGAGATAAGTGCTATGACTGGGCTGGGAACATGTGCCTTGGTGCCACAGGATCTTTTGGATTGCATTGCCTAGGTACAAGGGAGAATAGCTGCAGTTAAGCTTAAAGTTAGGTAAGAAGGAATGATAGGATTGCTCCTGCCTGGAAGTGAAAATCTGAGGGCTCTGAGCACAGGAGGTACACAACGGGAAAGAAATTTGTCCTGTGAAAAGGAGTCAGGGATTTGCAATCCCATCCAACCACCTACTGACAGCAATGTTTCGAACCTACCTCTTTGTCTCTGTGTATTCCTGTGTTTCTCCGATATAATGCAAACTTTCTTTGTATATAATCCAAATCCAAGCTATAAAATCACATATTTGGCTCACACTTAAAAATTGCCTGAGGAAGCCATGTTACTCTTTTTAAAAGTAATAACTTTTTAAAAAGTAGAATTGCATTATTATTCTTTGATTTATTCATAGTTAATAATCAGTTAATAATTAATTCAACTCCAAAGCTGACATTTTTACACTCTGTTTTCAGTAATATTGAAGTGTAGTGCAGCCCACACAACTTAGATGAAATATTTCATGTAATATCAGCTTTTTGGCAGCCATTGGATTTGTGTACCCATCAAAACTGCATCTTCTGAGAAGAGAAAGAATTAAGAAAAAGTCATTTACCCAATAATTCTGTAACTATTGATTTCAG